GCCGGTGGGAGGTTTTCAACGGGAAGGACCGAGGCAGCGCAGGAGCCCTGGCCGAGCCCTTGTCTGCATCCGGGGACGCGAAGCGTATTGAAAATGGATCTTCAACACCAGCTAAGAAATCCAGCAGCACACAGAGAAGGGCTGTCTGATTTTCAGGAAAGATCAGTGGCCATTTGTAGCTATTAACTTTAGGAATGGTATGCTTTGCGGGACAGATAGCTGTGACGCTAACGTTTATTCTATGGTGGTCAAATACACCAAACTCAACTGGCGGAGGTGGTTCTGCTCTCATACATATACGCACCCTGGAAAAACCTTGTATTCTATAAAACTGCACACGGTGTTCATGAAGAGAATAGGGGTGAGGCGGAAGTTTGTGGAGTGCCCTAGCCCGAACAGTAATAGTCTTATTAAAATTATCAGCTGTAACAAATCACCACTGGAACTCACACTTAGAACCATACGTGCTCCTATCAGCCGTTGCCCTGCAACTGGGTCTCCTAAAAGTCATTGTACTGCTAGTTTCACCTGAGGCCTTTAAGAAGTGATAAGAACAGGGGTTCTCGGAGCCACTAAATCAGCTACTTTTGTATTAAAAAGACTCTTCTACAGGAGTTTTAGGCCCCCCGATCCAGCAAGGTCTTTATGCAACCCTGAAGATGCCTTTTTCACTGAGAAGGTTTGATCCTATTGCCTCAAAATGTAGCTTATCTGGAAAGTCAAAGGTGAACCAGGAGTACGTCAGCGTCCACCACCTCCCGTTTGTTCACTGCACGGGGGGGAACCGCTCCAAAGAGACACAGGAGCGGAGCAGACGGTGCCACCAGGCAGCCTTGGGTATGGACGGTAACTGCAGAGCAAAGGCCCGGTGCCCTCCAGCCGTAGCCCAGGCCATGGAGCTCATGACCTGCTCTGTTCCAGACAGGACTCTCCGGGTGGTGGCAGGTGCTGCTCTTCTGCTCTCAGCCTCTTTTTCTGGACTCCTGGGGAACGGGCTGTGGATAGCCCTCCAGCCGTAGCCCAGGCCATGGAGCTCATGACCTGCTCTGTTCCAGACAGGACTCTCCGGGTGGTGGCAGGTGCTGCTCTTCTGCTCTCAGCCTCTTTTTCTGGACTCCTGGGGAACGGGCTGTGGATCCTCAGCAAGGGCCGGAGGGAAGGACCTTGAGGGTGACCTGCTCCTCGGAAGGGGGCGCTGCTGATCCACGCACAGCTCTTCTGTTGGAAACGCGGCAGGTAGCAACCTTCTCCCGGGCAGAGGGCGACTTTGCCACTTGTCTTTGAGGAGAGTCACAGCGGCATCCCTCCAACAGAACATCGTGCAGAGGAGCTGGCGAAGGAAACGTGGTCTACACAGTACAGTACTACTCTGCCACGAGGGGTGAACTTGAGCCATAGGTAGGAACTGTGGGATGTACCCTGAGACTGTAACGTTGTGACCAAAATCAGACACACCAGCTTAAATCCTGTGTAACTTCCTTACACGAGAAACCCAAAGTATAAGTAATTTGAAGGGAAAGGTAAAAGGTAATCAGGAGGAGACAGGGAGTTGGATCTTTTGCATATGGGGAGGGGAAGGAAAAGGGGATTTTGCGTGGAGGGAGGAAGAGGGAGGGAAAGGGGAATTAAAAAGAACTAAGAGTTTTAGTGCACATACCCGCGCCCCATGATGAGTGTCATCATTATGTACTGCAAACACGTACTAATAAAAATAAACACATAATTAGGAAGAAGAACACTGTCATCTAACACTGACAGTGTGGGAAGAGACTCACCCAGGAGCCTGTGTCTTTTCCTGCCCACGGTCTCAAGCTTGGGCTCACTAAGAGCAAGTTCAGGACTCCAAGGACCAACCTAAAGAGTGAATTTGCAGTCAGGGGTCGACAAGGGACATTTGTCCACACGAGAACGGATGCACTCTGTGGCTTCAAAAATTTCAGTACCATTTAAGCAAATCGTTCTATAGCTGGCAGGAATTTACCATGGAGGAAACTTCGGATTTTCGTGAGAGGGCACGGGTGAGCATACAGTGCTCTATGGTAGGACAGGCTGCTTCTCGCCTAGCTGGGGGCCTGGATGCTGCAACAGCTAAAGCGCTCTGGATTGTGCCAGTTCCCCTTCTGTTTAGGAATTTCCTCCATTGCAAGAGAGCAGAGTTTAGTCAGCGCCTGCCGCTTAGGAACCCGCCGACACTTCTGATGTGAGTAAACACAGCTCTCAGTTAGAAACAAAACTCTCCACTGCATTTAATTATTTTTACTTTCTAAGACATTATTTCAGATTTCCCATTTCAAATAAATACATCAGTTAGACCTTAAAAATACATTTATAAGGTATTTTTATATTTATGTTTCTTTCTCAAAGTCAAAGTTAAAACATATTCTGGTTCATTCTTTTTAGTTCATGAAAATTTGCTTTTATAAGAAAGGAAGCACTATCTGACTCTAATTAAAATAAGGCCTGACTAGATTCAAGGAAACTGAATTTTCAGATATTTGAAATGCAAGTTGAATTATATTGTATTACTGTCACTACTGGAAGTAGGTTAACCAAGTGCAGCTTGTAAAAACAGAGAAAAATGATAATTAACATTGCAAAGGGAGGGGGTGAAGGGAAGGCAGGGATAAAGGGAAAAAATGAGAACCAAGACCTGTCATGTAAAGGTACAAGATCCCAATGATGAATGTAACTGTACTGTACATGTAAAACGTACCAATAAACTCAATGAGAAAAAAAAAAAAGCATTGCAAAGAGGATTTGCCCTATTCAGTCTTTAGGCTATTATTTTATGGCAGGTTTTGGGGGCACTATTCCCCCCTGAACAGCAGGGTGAGGACAGCCACTGGTTTTGCCTTTGTGGCGCTGGGCAGGGTGAGAGGTAGCCCTGGGCGGGTGTCTGCTCCAGAGACTGGCTGGGACCCAACAACTTCTGTGGGACAAAATCGCAGGGTTTGGATGTTTATTTTTTTCTTTTACATTTGGATCAATAAAACAACCAGGGTTAAAAAACATGACAACAATAGATACTAAAGGAATAGTACAGCAAATCATTAAGAAATCAGCGTCATGCAGACAAATGGCCATTACTCTGAAGGATGCCTTGAAGGGCAGGGACAGGGGTTGAATCTCGCATGTTTGTGGACGAGAATGAAGTGATGGAAACACTAATTACCCCGTCTGATCACTGCACGATATACGTGTGTGTCAGAGCATCACTTTGTACCTCATGAATATTTATAATTATTGCACCAATTAAAACAGTAAAATTTAAAAAGAATAATTATTAAGGTAGGTTTTTAAGAATTTCAGTTTAACCCTTATAGTTATGGACCAGCTGGTCCAGTGGGAACAAAAATATGATGAAGCCATTGAAGAAAGAAATCATTTCAGGTAGCTAAATTAGGTAGAGGTGGGCAGGCAGTCAGAAAGGGCCTGGGCCCAAGACAGAGTCTGCACAGAGATGAAGCAGACAAGGCCTGTGGTCGCAGGCTGAATTGATAGAGATTAGGCCCAAGATGGAGACACAATGGCTAAGCCTGTGAGTCTCCTCAGAAAGAAACAATGGCTCGAAACTGTGCTGTAATTAGCACCACCTGGTCCAATAAGCCTAAGCAACATAGTAAGCAGAAACAACTTATCAAACGTGCCGACTGATCATGATAATTGTTTGCCCCTCACTCCTCCCTCTAGACATGCCTTTGTTCTCGGTGCTATGCACCCTTGCTGTATACCTTGTATTTCTATTAGATCAATACCAGCTAAGTGACTGCTTGCACCGCCTATAGGTTGATTGTAGCTTGACCCATGGTAATCTGTGATATGAGTTTACTCTATAAAAATCTCTACATAAAGAGTCTCAGTAACAACCCACTTTTGGGACACTTCCTCTCACGGGCTTTCTCTTAATAAACTTTCCCTACTCTTAACCTCCCGTGTCCCTGGAGTCACGAGACATGAATTTGGCACATCTAGCAGGTTGGGAGTTACTTCCTTGTAACCAAATTAGTGTTCAGTATGGGAATTAAAGAGTATTTGCACAATTTTACTTCTATCCTAAAGTCTACTTCTCAGAATACCCTAGAAGCCTCAAGAAAGAGACAAACCAGAGTGTAAGACAGTCTCTGAGATGAGGCTGAAGGCTCCCTTCCCTGAACTTGGAGCTCTTCTTGCCCTGTGCCTTGTCCCAAGGGACCTTTGTGAAGTTTTCCAGTGTTAAGAGTCTGTATCTCTAAACCAGAAAAGCAGAACTGGCAAAGAATAAGTTTGTGCTAAGATGACATTTCCACTGTTCAGCCATTACCCTGGGCACCTCTAGGCTGCCGAGTGCCTCCAGTTTCCTTTCAAAGATCCTGAATATGTCTGATTATCTTGTTAATCTCTTTAGACCCATTCTCCTCTCCTGCCTCAGTTAAATTCTGTTTCTGGAGGTTGATGTGTATAGACTGTATCAGTGGTTCCTTGCTTATTTGTCTTAGGGCTAGGTTGGATCATTAGGCAACCCTTCAAGTTTGGAGGTAGTAACGAGGTCTTGCTGCTTTTAGCCCTAGGGAACTCTTCTATTCCTTTGGGTACGCTAACCTTTTATAAATCGCATCTTTATCAAATTGTCCTTAAATGATTCCAATTTGATTAGTCATCCTGCTAGAAACCGACCAATTTCCTACATGAGGAGCTCAGGGTAGGTTATGCCAGGGGAATGGAAGTATCCATGGGTTCTTCTCCAAAAGCTATGTTGGCTGACCATGGTTGAATTAGAGTGAAGTGAAAAACTTGGATTCTCCCAGAAGTACTTTTGGTACAAAATAGTCACCGAAGACTCACTGAATAAGATGCAAGAAGGAGTGAGGATAGACAGATATGGTACCATATTTGATGTACCTGTCACAGTAGCAATTGGTTTTACAGAGCCTAAATTCAAATGACAGTTTCCACGAGATGTTCATACTTCCTAGCCTCTCTTTTCAGAATTTGGGTAAATGTGGAGCTATGAAATCACCAACCATCAGGGAATCGAACGGTCCCCACATCCAAAGTCTGTTCTTCCTCTAGAATTCTTTTGATCAGCTTTCTGAAGTCCGTAGCTGTAAGAGCGAATTCTGGTTGCTTGCCTTCCTGCATTGTTCACCGATGGACAACTTCACTTTCAGTTTTGTTGGAATCAAGAGCTAGGAGGTAACTTGTGGGGCTTTTTGCTTCTGCATCATCTCTCTTAAAGAAGCCACAAGTCTCATCTCTGTGGATCTGGATCTGCAGACAGAGGAACACAAATTCCACCGAAAGCCTTGTTACAGTCTGCTTGTGAGAATTACTATATTGCTATATTATTATTATTACTATATTCAGCACAGTTTCAGCCTCTTTTCTGATGGGCCCTTAAGGAACATCCCTCTCAAAACATTCCAGTGTTTACCAGAAAACTGAAGTGTGGAAAAAGAACTGACATACATTTTAGTTCTGAAATAGAATTTGAGCAGAGGTGTTAAGTCTAGCTTGAAGAAAGATTATGAAGTGAATCCATAGATTTTTTTTTTTTTTTTTTTACTTTAGGTCTTTTAGAAAAAGTGTTAATTGTCCAATGTACTTTGACCAACATTTTGGAAGTCTTAAAAATGAGGCCGTGCCAATCAGGAAGAAGCATGAATTGTCCCTTTCTGTACCCACAGCTTCCTTTATGAAGGTCTATGAAAAAGCAGTGAGAGTATGTAGTGTGGAACAGCAGGCAATGCATGCTATAACCAAGTCAAACTTCAGTTCTTAAGGCCGTTTTTCAACTACTTTTCCCATAAAGTATTTTTAAAATAAAAAAACCCATCTCAATAAAATAATTAGGAGGAAGAGGTAACAGAAGGGAGATGTGAGAAAAGAGGAAGGAAGGTAGTCCGTGATTAACTGCATTTATTGTCAGTTTTGCATAGGAAAATGAAAATGATTCTCTATAGCTCTGTCCTAAAAAGAACCAGATTTTACCTTTGGTTCATGCCATACATCTGCACAGAGGGGTGCAGAAGTGATGTAAAGGCCCCAGGAAGTGATAATGTGTATTCTCGGCAGCTCTTCAGAGCACACCATCAGTCAGAATCTACAGTTCATTATTTCACTAGTCAGTTACAGGAGCGAGAGCTGGATTCTTTTAACAGAGCTTGCCAAGGTACAGTGGGCCCTTTCCCAGTTCAGACAGATGACCTGGGAATCAGGAGCACCTTGGTCTCTGCTTCATTGCAGGCTTAGGTTGGAAGCATGAATGAGAAACAGTCAGACGGCCTCCCATTACAAAGAGCATTTAAGAAATAATGAAATATGCTTGGGTCATAGAAACATGTCTTCACGCTTTTTGCTAATCAGATATTGAACTTTATAGAATCGTCAAGTCAATGTTTATCTGCTTCTCTCACAGTGACTTTTGAATGGGGAGTTTTTCTCATTACTGAGTAACCAATTACTTCCAATTAAATAAGAAACCATGAAGAACTCATTGGCTTATCCAGACATTAAATGTAAAAATTATTTGTACAAAATCAGCATATAAATTTCTGGAGGAAAACATGCTGTATTTCAAAAATAAACAAAAGTCCAAATTACCCATCTCTTTCTTTCCTTGGTCTTCATTGCATCACACACAACGGAAACATGCAAGGGAGAAAGACTTTGTGTGGCATTTATTGGAACAGTCATTGAGTCACTTCATCTACCAAAAAACCTCTGTTTGAATCATCATCTCTTATGTTCGTCCAGAGTTTTGAAGAAAACACAGGCCGCCATCAGAATTTGGATGGAAATTCTGAGGGCCTTACGAATCTCAGGATGTACATGACACGTGATGTTTAGTCTTAGTTCAAAGATTCATATATATTTATGGTCTTCTTCCTAAACTGATTGATTTCACCATATCCTTAAAAAGGCTGCAAACGCATCCCATACAGCTCATGTTTTGGGTGGTGCTGTAGCCAGGAAGATTGGAGAGTATTCTTGCATTTCTGTATTTACATTTTTGTATTGTATTTTCACCCCTGGAATGGCACTTAAAGACTGGCTTATGCCTGTAGGCAATTTATTGGAGACTGGTGCCTAGAATGAGTGTTTCACTGACTATTTTTTTTTAATTGCTTTAATCAGTATTTCGAGGACTTGGTCACATTTACCATGCGGGACAGCTTGGGAGAAAACCCCGCTCCCTCAGAGGGCGGAGAGCACTATGCACTTTGCACATATCCCTGTGTAATCATTTCAAGAACACAAACTCCACAGACCTGGGAATGGTGCGGGGGGAGAGGGAGAGGGAAAGGGAGAGGGCTTTTGGAAAGAGCTGTCTTGGAAAATGACAGATGTAAGATTCCAGTCCTGGACTGCCTGCCCTCAGGCCTAAGCTCATTTTCCAGAAACGACCTGCTTGTTTCCTGAGAAAAGGCCCTTTGGTCCCTGGGCTGATGGACATCGCCTGGCCGTATGTATGCGCTTACTGTATAAACTTCGTTCAGATTTCTCTCCATACATTCACATGGTAGTTGCTGACCACACTTTACCCATGTGACAGGATTAGTGCTGCTGGTCTCTCAGGTGGCCTAATGTTCCGTCTCTGATGTAACATGACTGACATGCATGTGACACAGACACGCTACCCCCTTCCTGTCTGCAAAGGCCAGGGAGGGTCTCGTCATTGTAACTAGTGTTACTCCCTTTTACCAACCAGACATCGATCCAGGGCCTGCCTCTTGCTTATTTTCAGCAATAGTTTATAATCTATGAAGCTTAGAAGAGAGGCTAGGTAGCCTGGGGTAGGTGCCTAGTCCTGCTAATTTAAAAAATTATTCGGAGAAGGTATAATTACACAAACAGGACATAGTAGAGGCACGCGGCCTGATGACACACTTACGAATCCATTTTTGCAATCAAGACAGGGTATATTCACCCCCCAGAGCTTTATCCTGCCCCTTGGGGAACCCCAGGAACTTCCACCCCTCTCTGGATCATCTTCTTTTAAGCAATTATTGACCTGTTTTTCCAGATTAGTTTGCATTTTCTAGAATTTAGTATAAGTGAAAGAGTGCACTTTTCACTCCACAGTAATTTCTTTCACTCCACATAGTTATTGCGAGAGATATCATGCTGTGTGTTCCGAAACTTCCTTGGTTGAGAAGGAGTCTAGACTGAGAAGACACTACAATTCTGGATTGCCCTATTGATGGATACTTTGATGTTTTTCTCTTCTTGGCTATTACAAACGAAGCTGCTATGGAAATTGCTCATATCTTTGAAAGGGCACGCGCTCCAACTAAATTGATCGTTAGTAGTTTCCCACATTCTCTGTAAGAGGCAAAGCACTGTTACTGCTCATTCTTACTAATAGATATCCTAGCTCTTGTGTTGAGAGAATTGATATTGAAGTACTTGTGAAACTTTAAATTATTATTTTATTTTACAAATGACCTGCAGGGAAGACAGGACAAGACCAACAGACTCACGGGGATGTCAGTCTTCTACAGAAATCTGGCCCAACAAGAAGGAAATTTCCTTCACAGGAAGTTTGCTTTACAATATCCTGAGTGTTGCTCTTAATGACCAAATGTTTTTCCTGCTCAAAAGCAAATCATTTGTTGTACTCAGGGACCAGCCTATTTTCTGGGGGACTAAAGTTCTCATGACACAATGAAAACCATTGGGGAAATGTGATCAAACTTACTTTATAAGCATCCTTGGCAGAAATAAGTATAAAACCTTACAAAAATAAACATGGGAAAAATTCATCTTTTAGGGATATAACTCCAAAAGTTTCATGTTAGAAAATTTCATCAACTAACATTTTGGTTTTCTTCTGAAAGAGATTTTTAAAATTAGTTTCTCGTTTATTGAAAGGAGGTGATAATATGCATTTGATCCGTCTCCGAACTTTTCCCATCATTTCCTTCAGGTTTAAATTAAAATTTGTTCAATGGCAGTGATTTATTCAGAAGACCTTGCCATCTATGCAAAATTTTTTCCTATCAATCACCTCTTATTGTCTTCTAATCCATCTGATTTCACATAGAATACTGCAGAATGGCATCTTGAAATGAAGAGAAACAAGTTTGCTTTGGTGCATATTAAGACTTACATCTTTCATAATGTCCACTGCGCAGGGTTGCTTCCCTCGGAGGCACATCTGTCAGAGGGGGCTGGCACCTGTGCCCTCTCCCTGCTCCAGCTACTTCACTCTCTCTCTGGCACCTCCTTGCTGTGAGATGACAGGAGCAGGCAGGGCTTGGGTGGCCCGCTCTCCCCAGGCCACACCTTATTCCTGGTTCCCAAGTCTTCCTGCTCCAGCAGTGCTTGTGCTTACCTTTGGCATATCGTCAACAAGTAGCATTTTATGACCTGCCTCTAAATGTTTAGGATGAGAACCTAAAAAGATGTAAAACTTTTGCTCAGACCCAAGCATTGGGATGCTAATGGTCACAGGTCCTCTCGTGCCAAAGCCCTGAAAATGGTCTCGCCCTGCTTTCGTGTGACGTGGTTTTATGATTTCATTTCTTTTATTTAAACTTTTCATTTAATAATTTTGAAAGGTCATACATCACTGTGATTCAGATTAAAATAATATCAAAGGTGTATTTGTAGATGTCTCCCTTCTATCCCTATCCACCCCATTCCTTCAGCCCTACTCTCCCCATAAGAACTACTCTTTATTAGGTTCACCTGTCTGCCTTGGGTAATATAATTAGTTAATATGGTCATGATATTTAGCCTTTGATAGGAAACCAGGCAATACAACACCAAGGCAATTAATTGCTACTTCTTTGGTCACTCTTGTGTTTTTCTACGAGATTGGTCAAAATAACACTGGCAAGGACAGCAGACAAGCTCTCTGCCGAGGGCATTATTTCTGACTCCCACAAGGAACGGTACAGCTCCTGAGTATCCCCTTAAAATCACCCAGAGTCATGTTCTAATTAGAGTTTCTTTATCTGAAATGTATTCAGCCCTTCAGGACTTGGCAGAGCTAAACAACTGAGGAAAAACGGACCTTATAATCCTCATGACATTGCTTTTAAAAGAGGAGAGGAAGAAAGTAATTTAAAAATTGAGAAGAGTCTGATTCTTTTACTTACCTAAATCCTAACACACGGAGTTCTTTGAATCCTGGAAGTTTCTTAAATACTTTTTGTATCTGCAGAGAAAAATAAATTTATGAAACAGTCTTTGGTTCTACTGGGTCAGATCTTATCTAACCAAAAAAGCCTAAATACTTTTGATGAGTTAGGGGAAAAAGGAAGATGGAAAATATGAAACAATGAAAGAGGTCAAACTCTTCTGTTCTCAGTTATTTCTGAAACCCAGAGAAAAGTATTTTGCTATTTATTTAGAAGCCATAATTGGGTGACTCTGACCTGATGCAATGCATACTTTACATGAAATATGACATAATTTTAAGATGGCATTTAGTGGAAACTTTATTTGACCACAGAGTGTTCCCTTGTGCAGAGCAGTATGCTATTTTATGATTATAAGTATAATTTTGTTGAATGGAGTTATATGTTTTGGAAAATATCTACACTAGAAAGGCATTCATGCATTCAATATGGCTTCTGTACCTAAATAAAATGGCAGGAAGAGATTCTAATCTAATGGACTGGATTTGTTCTTAGACTTGGCTAGACCTTGCAGTTTTTAAAAATTGCCCCTATTAATGAGGTCTGTTGTGGAAATATCTAAGACCTTGCATTTTAAAAACTGCCCCTATTAATGAGGTCTGTTGTGGAAATATCTTGCAAGTGCTACACCCAGCGACTTCCCAACCCACCCCAGCCTTGTTTCTGCCCTGGGCTCCCCAGGATGGAGGATTCTTTCTAGGTCACTGTTTCTTGCCTTTCCCCAAATCCAGCAGTATTTTCCATTCCTCACTCACAGAGTCCTGCTCCTTCCTGGCTCCTCTCCCATCTCTCACTATTCTCTCAGTCTTCTTTGATCCATCCTATTCGTGTCCTTACTGTCTAAACATAAGGAGTTGGCAGCTTTCTGCTCCATCTCCTCGCCTCCTCCTCCTTCCCCACCTCTGAAGACCAGCGCTGCCCCATCTAGCTTTCCTGTAGGAGGGCTGGGAGCCGGAAGGACCACCGGGAGGGAAGAGCCACTTAGTAGTGAAGCCTGAGCATAGGGGAAGAGGGAAAAAGGTGAGCAAGAGCTGGGCTCTGTCCACCCGTCCCTCTGTCCTCTCACCCGTTCCTCTCCTTAGAACAGTTCCATCTCCCTCCATGGCTTTAGTGATCACCTGACATAGAGCCCTGAATTCTCCGTGCAAAGGCCGCCATTTTCCTGCCCAAGCCAGGGTCATTCTCTTCCCCCCAAATTGGCCTTTCCTCCTGGCCTCTCTGACCTAGTCAAGGACAGGAGCACCTATGGTCTTTGCGGTAGGGGTGAAGCATTCCCAAATACTTCCTCTCTAGGAGCCTCAAAAACAGCCACCAATTCTTTGCTGGAACCCCACGAAGTCTTCTGCCTCTACCACATTCTGTTATTTCCATGGTTGGTTCATCTTCATTATCTTGTCTCTCGCACTGCTGAAATGAGTCTTTGGGTGTGGTGTTGGTGGAGGAGGAAGAGAAATGTTTCTTTTCCCTCTAAATTAATCATTCTATGTCTGTTGTTCCACCATTAAAAATCCCTTGATCTGTTTATCAAGATCTAGTTCTTTAAAAGGGCATTCAAGACCTTCCTGAGTTGCACCCCCCTCATCTGCTGCCCTGACGTTTGCTCTTCCTGCCGCTACTATCCCCTTGGCCAATGGTGTCCTTTAGTGACACTGAACCGACCCCCTCCCACCCACACACAATCTGCACTTCCCGGCCCCTTAGCCCAAGATGTGACACCTGTGCCCATCCCCCCCCAACAACTTCCCTTGGCCACACCCACTTCCTAAGGCTGCCGGAACATCTTGTCTACCACAGAAAGCATTTTGTTCAGCTCTAGCTTCTGGTGCAATTGTTTCTTCTTGGCTACTCTAGCTCTTGTTACAGGATACTGCACAAAGATCTGTGAAGGGCTCGTGAGTTTCCTTCACTAAGAACACGGTCCTTGGTGCAGGGAAGCATGACCTGTTTATTCGTCTTTCTCTCCCTGCCCTTATGATCCAGCAGTCTGTGATTCATATAGTAGGAACTCAGCAAATACTGTCTGAGTTGAGTGCATCTCTTTATTCTCTAAGCTTATCAACGTGCCTCCGCGTTGTCACTGCATCTAAAAATCTTGCTGACTACATTGCTGGTGCCAAGGCCCAGAGCACCGATAATCCCCAAATCGCTTATATTGGGCCTTGGACAGCAGTGTGGAATTTTTTCCCAACCAGAATGATTTACTTTCTAATTATATTTCCTTGTGCCGATATTAAAAATAGTTTTCATTTCCTGAGCATGCAGGAACTGCAGGGGTGAAGGTAGTTTAGCGTCAGTGATAAGGAGATAGTCGTGTAGGCCTGGTTTCAATATTGGTTCCACGGCTTTCTAGCTGCAAGACGGAGTTCATCGCTTCATGCCTCCGGGTCTTTGTCTCCTCAGCCAAGTGGGATAACAATGCCTATGCCGGAGGGTTGCTGGAAGGAATCACTAAGAAGTAAGGAGCGCCTGGTTCACATCTGGCAGTCAGGAATATTGTGCTCCTGATGGCCTCATTCTCTGCCTCTTCCCTGGGATGACTTGTTCTGTGAGAGCTCAGTTTCCTCTTACTGCCCCAGTGGCCACACACTATGGAACCTGACCAGGGCCGTGCCCACCTCCAGTAAGTCTTTTAAAAAAATGAATGGAGAGGGCAGGATGAGGGTTGCTAATGCGTTTCTGCGTCTCTGCCCTGATCCTGTCATGAGCTTCACAGTGAAGGACCAAGAGGTCAGCAGGCAGGCCTGAGCTGTGCATGTGCTTCCGGTCTGCTTGGCTTCCGGTCTGCTTGGCTTCCGGTGGTGAGCAGGAGTGGGCCACAGGGAAGCTTCCGGCTGTTCAAGTAGAAGCTCAGGGGCTGAAGGCTTAAGTGTGAACTGCAGAGTATGAGCAGGTGATTTAGATTCAGAATCATCCCTTTTCCAGGGTCTGTTGTCCACGTGGAAGCAGTCAGGCAGGCAGAGCGCTGCCTCCATAGAGGTTGTGGCAGCCGCATGGGTGGGGGATCAGGGCTGTACCCCAACCCTCACCCCGTCCTGGAGTGCTCCACAGCAGCAGCTCTGGTGAAAGGGATTTACTGTTTGTGCCCGCGTACTCTTTACTAACCTTTCTGTGATTGACTGAGAATCAGCTCCTCTTAGGAGGGAGTAGATAGAGGGTTGAGGGAGAAGATGACAAAAGCCTTCCATTAATTCTGCTACATAATCTTCTGGGGGATCTCCTAATCATACAACACTAACTACTAAATTGCTAATTAAGTGCCCAGTTAACCTTATTAATAATGCTAAATGCACAGGAGTCTCCCTGATTCTGCCTGAATACATGTTAGCAGGGCTATAAAAAGGCAGCTGTGTTGAGTTCCCAGGAATGTTTGCACAGGAGAAAGCATTCAGACAACAAGTACATTATTCCTTCTGACATTTGTATTAAATTGCTCATTAATTTTATTGTGGAAATTAAATTGCTTCAAATACTGTCTGTCAATTCCTGATCATGCCTGGATGGTTGTGCTAATGAAGACACTGGGCTGCTTGGATACTGATGTAGGTCTCAGTGGTCCTGCTCAGGAGCAGGACTGGGTCAGGGGGCTCTGCCTTGGAGAAAGTGACTGTGAAAAGGCAGCCGGCAGGATAATGCTAGGGGTCTTTGAAATGGGATGGGGAAAGCACACTCCCCTATGCCTATTAAGTTCCACAGAGGATAGATGGGGCAGACCCAGGTGATTATAACTAGTGCTTTCCCAGTAAATACATGGAGGAGAACAGGGAGCACAGCATAGTTATTAAGATTAAGACTTATTAAGATTAAGATTTTATGCTGGTTTGCCTGGATTGCAATCTTGGCTTGCCAGATTGTGTGTCATCATTTGGGATACTAATTAGTCTGCTTGTACCTCAGTTTCTCCACTTGTAAGAAGGAAAATAGTATTACTTATAGCATTGGGTGAAAATTAAATTAGTTAATACACAGTCTTAACAACAGTACTGGCCTGCTGTTCCTTTACATAGCTGTGAGAACGTTAGACTTGGAAAGGGATTTTGAAGTCATCTTTCCTAATTCCTAAGTGAGGAAACTAAGGCTAGAGAAAATAAGATATCCTCACGGCTAATTCTTGGCAGAAAAAGGAACTAAAAGTTGAATTTTTAAAACATTCCGATGTATTTCCATCGTGTTAGGTGCTTAGAAAATTAACAACAGGCCAGGGAAGAGTCTGTGGCTACTTACCTAATTTTGACTATATTAAGGACTTATTGCAAAGAATGTCTCAAAGAACACTTGGAAAAGTTAACGAACTATTCTTGAATTCATTTTGCTTAACAATCCATGTCTATGTACTCGCATGGCTCATAAACACTAAATGCCGAATCTTTCTCTTTGAAGTTTGTAGAAATGATGCTTTATATGTATGGACTGCAAGTTGGTGTGGGGAGGAGCTGGAGGTTCAGAATGTTTACCCATATCTCTTATCCCCAGGAGAGGAGGTGAGTAAAGAATTCTCCACCCGAGTGAGAAGCAGTCACTCTTGTCCCCTGGTCATGCTGAGAAGGTTCACACAGCCCCAGGCTACAGGGCATGTGGCTCATGCTTACAAATATCACGAGGCTCCACTTCTCAGTTGCATTTGTAGCAATTACCGTTGCCCCTTGTATTGGGCTTCTGAGATGAGGCAGTTTTCCTCTCAGAGGGAAGCTTGTAGTTCTCAGGGCTGAGGGTGGTGCACCCAGAGACGGTATCCAGACAGAAAAGGAGAGGCCAGGAAACCACACATCTGAGGGCCCGGGGGTTATGTGGTCTGCAGTGCCACCAGGGACTGGTGAGCCCAGACTGAGTAGCGGGAGCTTCATGCGACGACCTCCCCAGAATGAGATGTAGGGAGAGACATTCTAATGGAGGAGGCAGCACATGGAAAGTGAGGACAATTTACAAATAGTTTGTATTTTTGCAAGCTAAAGTGCCAGGGTGAAGAATGGAAAGGAATAGATGTAAGACAAGACTGAAAAGGAAGGGAGGGGTCTCATCACAGCACGTCGATGCTACCCTGAGTGCAGGAGTTGGATTTATCTTGAATTAAAGAACATTTGTATTCATCTAAGACACACAGGTATGATGATGGATGGAGATCATGGGAAAACTCCTTTGTTGAGTAATGCATGACATGAACAATGTAATTGCCTTCCATTTATCACCATGAAAATGTCATGTCTTTTCATTGTATCACACTGCAAAAGTGGAAATATTATGTAGAGCCAAAGCACTATGAATTTAAAATTCACATTTCAACCCATATTCTGTAGTTGGTGCCTATGTGTTCTTCTGACTTTATGCTATTCTTTTAAAATTTTAACTCCCTTTATCGACATGTAAAAGCGGACCGTGTTTAATGTATGACCTCAGTGGATTTTGGGAAAAGTATATACTCACAGATGTGTCACGTAGTGATTATTTAGACATATAGAATACACATGGCTTTCAGTTATATGAGATTTATCACTTACTAATAGTTAAAGAAAATCTAAATGCAAAGGACGTTTAAGAATGGACAAGCTGGAATGGACACTTTGTCCTAAGCATGGCTTTCAGTTATATGAGATTTATCACTTACTAATAAAGAAAATCTAAATGCAAAGGACGTTTAAGAATGGACAAGCTGGAATGGACACTTTGTCCTAACATTTTGGGACCCATTGTAGTGTTGGCTTTCTCTTTAACAATTGCAAATGGTTGCCCAGTCACAGGAGGTTGGAACTATTAGCCAAAAGGATGTATATCGTGCTGGCTGCATCCACTCACCTGCAGCCATGACTTTCCAGCCAGGCCCTGGAAAGAGGAAGACCTGAGGCTCTGCCTCGAACCTCTGGTTTGGCAGGGAGATGGTGAGCTCCACCTCCTGCTCCTGTGGGCTCTGGGCAACCGCGGTGAAGTCTGTTTCTCTGTCCTGAGTTCAAAAAGCAAAGGGTTGTTTGTTCATGTAAGCTACCAACAAATGGCAGTATTGTATAACATGCATGGATATTGTATCAAAAAGTGGACCATGCAGGCTCAAGTGCTCTTAGAACAAAAATCCTATTAATTAGAAATAGTCTCTGAACTGCAGTGAGAGACAAGGCACCCAGTCCCAGGGAGTTAACAATTCAGAGTGCTTGGGAGCATGGTCATTTTATAACTGAGGGATTTTCATGCAAAAATTCACAAACACTCATATAGACTCCTGCCCTCACCCCATACATACACACGTACATACGTACGTACGTGTGCATGTAAATGTGTTGCTGGTAAATGCTGTGTCATTGGGGTTGTGCTATGTTACACAGTGACTTTACTGGTACCCTTTGATGAAGACTGGATTACACAAAGCTGAGGTATTATTTAATATAATCCTTTTTCTTAATTTTTATTTATTTTTTTGGTACTGGGGATCCAGGCTTGTGCTTGCAAGGCAGGTGACAGAACCCCTGAGCTAACTCCCCAGCCCTATAATCCTTTTGAGAGAAGAGTCTAGACTGATTTAATGAGAACATTTGTACTTGAATTTCACATTGCAGTGAGTTAGTGAGCTTTATGAAGCCAAGAGAGAGGTTGACATTTCTCTCAGAGGGAATGGTGGCATCGGACCACCCTTGAACACATGTGGCTGAGAACTGAAGTGCTGTTACAACGATGTGGGTTCAGCCCGCATCACAGAGGACCCGTGGTCCCACTTTTCACCTGGGCAGAGGCCTCGTGGCTCTGAACTCAAATGGGTTCTCAAGAGGAAGCAAAGTGTGGAACTGGGTTGCAAACGTTCGGTTTGACAGATGTTCAGCCTTGGGTACTCAGATGATACTGGGCTATGTACGACTTTCCCCCAAAAGTAAGAAATGTGTCTGCAGAACACTGAACGAGTCTCTGGCTATGTGCATAGTCTTTTATAGTGCATTAATGCTCAAGAAGCTGAACGAGAGAGTGGACCAGGGGAAAGTGCCACGAAGATCAGAGAACAGCTGCGTGGGGCAGGCATATTTCCTCTTGTCACTGCTTTCATAGGCGTGGACAACATGGTTCCCAAATTTAGGGAGGTGTCTGAAGGTTGTGGATCCACACTTAGCAGCCTACTGATGTTTGTTTAAAAGATTTCTTTCATTAATTCAAAAAAGACCCATTGAACATCTGCATGGGTATAGCACAGTGCTGGCATTGGGAGTTCCCACGAAGCACTGAGGTACATTTTTAAAGTGTGTTACTGAGAAGTTACTCTCAGCCACCCAATATTTTCATTGTTTGTATTAAAAAACTTGATTACAGTCAGTGTTCTGTTCAGTAAATCGCTCAAACTTATCCCTCATGTCTAAACTTTAGGGCCTGTGGTCAACATTCCTCTTTCTCCGTCCATCCCTCAGTCCCAGCCCCTGTGTGAGGCATTGCGCTGTTTCATAAACTTCCTGCAGAAAAAAGTAGATTAGGTTTTCATGTTTCCCCCCAGCAGATGCCCTGTTATCTATGGGGCAAGCCTTAAACTCTTCCTGGATATTTATGGCTCTCCCTGATCTTATTCCAATCTGTTTGAACAAATTCAGTCTCACTCTTCTCAGCCCCGATTACCAGGGTGCCAGGCATCAAATACTTGCGTTAGCACCTCAGTGAGATGCTCTCCAGCACCAGTACACACACATTCTCTCTCTCTCTCTCTCTCTCTCTCTCTCTCTCTCTCTCTCTCTCTCATGCTCCCCTTACATCTTACCAATATTCCACAGTTCATCTAAAATAACATTTCCTATGACTGTCCAGGCCCTGGCTTCATCGCCTCCTTGGAACTCCTGTGGCACTGACGAACATCGAGGCCCTCGGGGTTCCCAATCACACACTCAATTGCGGTCTCCTTTTCAATTGCAAACTCTGTTGCCTCACGTAATTTTCATGCTTCCTGGAATCTCCCAAAACAAAGGCCATGGTGCCCTTTATGCACAGAGCTCTGAATGCACAGGACTAAGGATGGACCTTCTGCGGCCTGTCCCGGCTTAGCCTTCTGTCCTGGTCTACGCACCTGCCGTCTTCAATCTGAGCGCTGAGGTGCTTCGTTAGCGGTGATTATGTTCAACGGCATCATGAATTCCTCAGGCAGGAACTGCGTTCTGCTCATCCAGGGCTCTTCGGTGCCTAACCCCACTTCTGGCACATCAGTGGGTCTTGATAAACTGCTTCCTGAATGAAAGTCAAAGTGATAGGTGCAGATGGCAAAGAGGGTGCTGAGAGGAGGATGTGCTGAAGGCCAAATGCCATATTTGGGGATATTTATGTGGAGGGATGGACCCATCTTAGATTCTGAAGGAGACGGAACGCAGGGGAGGTGAGAAAAGAGAAGTCAGACAATCCATTTCGGAAATGTTAGAGTAAGTCTACATTGAATCAGAGTCAATGTTTTTGTTTTTTCCCTAACATTACTTGCAATGTTGACGAGGGAGGATTTTCAGAAAAATGCAGTACGGGGCCGAGGATTTAGCTCAGCGGTTCGGTGGCCTGCCTTGCAAGTGCAAGGACCAGAGTTCAGTCCCCGGTACCGGAAAAAAGAAAGAAAGAAAGAAAGAAAAGCACAATACGTGTATTCTCCTTTTCACAGCAATAGAGTAACCGAGCCTGCAGCCATCCGGAGTGCACAGCAGACAGTGATGTCTCACGCAGAGGGGCTGAGGCTGGACTTTGTGCTCTTGCCTTGCCACTGGCTGTGCCGTGGAGGGAGGAGGAAGGAGGGTGGGCAGGGGGACCCCGCACAGGCCAGGGCACAGTGCAGGATGGGAAGAACCACACTCTGGTTCTTCAGTCTGCCCTCCCCGGGCTGCCCCGGCCCTACCAGCATGAGAATTGTATTGAGGGCGGCATCTTCCTCCCGCAGCACTGAGTGTCTGGGCTCCAAGCTTGTTGGGAAGGCTCACGTTTCTGTTTCCGCGTTTTGATCATCAACACCACATCCTTCACAACCCTTTCATCTGGTCCCTCTTCGCTCTGAGCGGTGCCTGGTGTTCTTCTTTGCCCTAGTTTTAATTTTTGCCCAGATCGACATGGATGATTTTGATCATCTTGAAACCTACCTGGCCTATTCATGCTGAGTATGACTGAGACAAAACTTTTGTTGTCAGTCTGGGGCGACACGTCAGTGGAGAAGGCGCATTATTGGCTGCTGGATTGATTTGTTCTCATGCTTGGCCAGTGTCTGCCATACATCAGCTTCTGTTAGATAATGAGGGACGGGCCCTGCCCTCCAGAGCCTGTGATGAAATGACCTCTTGTCATTTCCCCCACCTTCTCCTAGTTTTCAACCTGTTCCCCCGCCATCCTCAGGGCAATGCGAGCAGAGCAATCTCCGATTTCCTCACAACAGGAGTGCAGCCCTGAGTGCCCTCCAAGCGCCCAGTCTACTGTTCTCCCTGGTAGCTGAGAGTATCGGAGAAGACCTGTGAAGAGCTGGAGCGACTCCGCCTTTCCTAACGTTGTAGGCTTCTTGGTATCCTTCAAGGGGCCATTGAGGGTTTCGTGGGTGTGTGTGTCATCGGGAGAGAGAGGGAAGAACCCAAGTGAGACTTTGGTAACAACTGTGGAAATTGAAGCAATCACAGACACAAGGATAAGACAAAAGGAGTTGAAATTAGATGGTCAAAATTTTATACGCCTTTTCTGGTAGTGCATCCTTTACAGATCTTAAGTGCAATCTGAATTCATTTTAAAGAGATCATATAAATATATTCTTGAAAAAGATGTAAACCTGACTTTCAACCTCAGCAAATTCTGGATTCTGGGACCCAAGTTTGGTGGGCTCTACATGGGTCATGGTTAAAAGGTTTTAATAAGTTTTTCCTTTTTTGACTAAAGGTCCCAAAGGCAAAAATTTAACTTTATTCTTCTGAATGCTTTTTAGGATATTATCCAAGACTTTAGAATTTACATTGCTTCGACATTACTGAGGCATTAGAATTTTAATCATACAATCCAAGGAACGAAAGAATATTAAGATGCTATCAATTCTCCCCCTTTCAGAACAGATAACTGTAAACCACTTCAGGTCCTAGAAAATGCTTTTATATATTTAAGGACCTCGTGGAATGGAAGTGTAGCTTCCTTTCATGGAAAGAAAAAAGTATCATTGTAATATACATGCATTACTATTTTATGATAAATTATTATTGAAACATGTTTAGGGAAATAGTATTATGACTGTTTAGTTTATATTTTGCTAGAAGTTGTTTTCTACTTTAATACTAATTAAGCAAGAACATAGACTACATTAATTTTTGAGCTTCAGAATACCAAATGTCACAGAAAATTGAATTGATCTTTCATTTTTGCATGGAAATCAGCAGTCACAAGTAATCACGTATCACTGTGCCTGTGAAGTCATTTAACAAAAAAGTTTTTTTTGGGGGGATACCAGGGATTGAACTCAGGCCCTTGTACTTGCAAGGCAGGCAGTGGAATCACTAAGCCAAACCCTCAGCCCCCTGTGAAATCATTTTATTGGGTGTGCAACTGGGTCCCAAGTGGGAGTACTTGGCAGTGGTTAATGGAGTAATCTGGGGAAGGTGTTTTTGTTAAAAAAGGATATTTATGATTTTAAACTGACACAAAATGTTGTACCTTTTTACAGGGTACCATGTGGTATACATGTATATATTACATAATGTTCAAGTTAGGGTAAATATATCTGTGTCCTCAAACATCATTTAATTGTAATTAAAATACTCAAAATCACTCTTTTAGCTATTTTTGAAGTGTACAGTAAATCATCATTTATGTCATCACCTTGCTAAGTGGTAGAACACCAAGAGGGGATCTCAGGTTAAAAACACAAATCCATGGACGTATCAGCATCTCCCAGGATGTGGCATCTACCATCTCCCTCTGCAGTTCTGCTTGAAGTACCCTGCTATGAGCAGTTGGGGTGGAGGTCTCTACGTCCTGGCCATCCCAAGACTATTACCAATTAAAATTCTTCAAGCTTTATTATTCTATGAGTAATAAGTTGATACTAAATTTTTTGTAACACCAAAAATAGTTCTAGTGTACTACAAGAACAATTTTTTGTTGTTATTATTTGAGTATCTTATTTTATTGCCTTGAAAAGATGAATTATTCAGACTATGAAACAATTATTAGAATAATTATTAGATAGACTGGGTTCATCTTCTAGTCCCCTCTGAAGAATTCTTCCTCTTTTTTCATGCCTCAGGTACCTAGTAATATTTCCTATTAAAACAATCTCAGGAAATTTATAACTGAAAAATTCAGTTGTGATAAATGTCTGACCCCCTTTAATATTCAAATATTTACATTTGAAGAACTCAAGGTTTAGCTCGAAGACAGGGGAAGTTTAATTTTTGAATTCCAAACTTATACATATAAATTCTTCTACATCTGTAAACTGATCAATACTGATGGTGGGTAGGGCTGGGGCAGAAAGTGAAGGTTGGGAGAAGAGATCATTTTCTTTGGAGCACAGGATCCCAAGTATCCTTCAATTTGCACAGTTAAGAAGATTTCTACACTTTTTCTGTATAAGATCACCACAGATGCTGAGTGTCTCGTAGGCACAGTGAAACTTGTTTTCACTGTGGTTAGGATCTGGCAGTTGTTTTTGAACTGCATTTTTAAAATAATTTAACTGCAGAAGAATCTGTGCACAAACTTCCACCTTGGGTGTTCAGGACAGTGGGGACAATAAAATTAAAGAATTTGTGTCTGGCACTCAAATATATACTAGTGATACATTTTATTATGCTATATAATTTGTCTACTGGTATCTGAATGTTTTTGTAAAGAAGAATGGGCAATAGTTTTAACTTGCTTTTTAATTTATCTTACTAAATTGAATTTGCAAAAGTTTTGGTCGGCTAAATTATGCTAATTTAAACTATTAAAATAGAAATACTATTTGTGGACAATATGGTCATTTATATAGAAGACCCTGAAAATTTCAAAAGAAGACTCTTATACCTAATAAACCAATTCATCCAAGGGACAAGATGCAAAGTCAACACACAAAAAGTTAAAAAAAAAAAATGAACCCCTTGAGAGAGAAATTAGGGAAACAAGTCCACTCAACAATAGCTTAAAAGGAAAAGAAATATCTAGAAATCAACATAACCAAGGTGAAGGAGCTCTATAATAAAAATTACAGAACACTGAAGAAAGAAATTAAAGACATTAGAAAATGAAATGACCTCCCCTGTTCAGAGATTGGCAGAACGATTATTGTTAAAATGGCGATGTTATCAGAAGTAATCTACAAATTCAATGTGAGCCATATAAAAATATAAAAAACAATTCTCAATGGGACTAGAAGAAATAATCAGAAAATTCATAGAGAAGTAAAAAAAAGAACCCACATAGCACAAGCAATCTTAAGCAAAAAGATAAAAGCTGGAGATATCATAATACCTCATTATAAATTACACTACAGAGCCATAGTAACAAAACCAGTGAGATTCACTGCCAGTGAGACACTGCCAAAAACAAAAAACAAAAAACAGTAGACCAACAGGATAGAACAGAAGACAAAGAAACAAATCTTTGTGCCTACATCATTCGATTTTTTTTTTTTTGGTATTGGGGGTTGAATCCAGGGCCTTCACAGTAAGCTACATACCCAGCCCTTTATAATTTCAGTATGCTGAGACACGGTCTCGCTAAATTACTAGGCTGATCAGGCTGGGCTTGAACTTGTCTTGGTGGCAGGTGAAAGACAAAATGCTGATGATAGGATACTTACTGGGTTCAGCTTTTTACAAAGTGTTTCCCAATTTTATACAGTAAATTCAAACTGTGATAAGGTTGGAACCACCAGTCAGAACCGAGAAAGCACAGTATAGACATCGTCTACTTCAGTTAAGGATTGTTTTTGTAAGTAACACGCGGCCATGATGACTTGAATTAAGGTTTGGAGGCAGCTGAGCTGTTGGCAGCAGGTGGCTGCAGCACGGTGTGCTCAGTGGGCTCTTCATCCGTCCTGTTACCATGATGGAAAGGAGGACAGGGAGGAAAAGCAATGATCACGGCAGATACCACACTCACATCTGTCTACACAGCAGATCTAAAGCTGAGAAAAGAGCACAGTTCCAAACATTTTTGAAATATTTTGAATTTATGTTTGTTAGTTCATGTTCATTGTATAAAACGATTCCGTTCATCGCAGGGGTTGGTCCGTGTGCATCACCCATTTCAGTTTTTTCTTTTTTACGGATCCTTCCCTCTCTTCCCTCCGCTCTTTCACTCATCTCTACTTCCCCTACCCAGTGGAAAAGGTTCCATCTCCCTAGTTCCTAAAAAAGTACACTTTAAAACTGGATTGAGCTGACGTTTTGTTATAGAAGTGGTATCAGAGTATCTTCCCTGGAAGAGGGCTTCACTCAGCCCCGTGGTCATGTGTGGCTCCAGGGCTTTCCATGAGCACCACAGCGTTGTAGGGTCACTGGGAGCCTTGCACGGCAGACAGAGCTGGTGGGGGAGTGGAGGTTCTGCTGTCTGACGATGCTTGCACTGTGTTCTTCGTCCTGTGGATCATGGGTAACAGCCTCTGTGAATGAAATACTCTTCCCAATGTCTCAGACCTTGAAGTTTGCCGATCCAGAGAATGATTAGATTTAGCTAATAAGTCTCTCTTTTTTATTAGTGTATGTTAGTAATAAAGAATAACCACCCGGTGTGGCGGTGCACTCCTGTAATCCCAACACTGGGGAGCCGAGGCAGTGAGAGACCAGCCTGGGCTACATAGTGAGTTCAAGGCCAGCCTGAACTACAGTGAGACCCTGTCTCAAAAAACCAGAAGATAAAGAAAAACCTAAAACTAAAAGTAATACAGAGCAGTGATCATTTTTATGAGTTGGTAAATATATACATTTTGATCATTTTCAATCCCTCTGCTCCTCTTTTTCTTTTCTCCCTATTCCCCTATCCTTCTTTTCTTTCTTTCTTTCTTTTTTTGGTACTGGGGATTGAACTCGGATCCTTGCGCTTGCAAGGCAGGCTACCGAACCGCTGCGCTAAATCCCTGATCCTATTCCCCTATCCTTCTTTTCTTTCTTTCTTTTTTTGGTACCGGGGATTGAACTCGGATCCTTGCGCTTGCAAGGCAGGCTACCGAACCGCTGCGCTAAATCCCTGGCCCTTCTCTTCCCTTCCCTTCCCTATTTCTAAGTCTACCTTCTAGTTTTCTCTCAGTCTCTCCTTTGTTCATTTATGTATTTATTTTTATATGTACGTATTTGTTTTAGAATTCTAAAAATATAGGTTTCTCATATAAGAGAAAACAGGTGATATTTAAGTTTTTGAGTCTGACTTACTTTGCTCAGCACGGTGGCCTCCAGCTCCATTCATTTTTCTGCATAATGGAGTTCATTCTTACCTTATGGCTGAAGAATACACCAATATGCACCTGTACCGCTTGTCCTTCTCCATTCATCGATGGATGGCAGGTAGGCTGTTCCCACAGCTCAGCTGTTATGATCACACTCCTTGAAGATGGGTATGTATGCATTGCTACAGAATACTGTCTTCAATTCTTTGAGGAATACTCCCAGAACTGGTACAACTGAATCAAGTGGTATTACTATTTTCAGTTTTGGAGGATTCTCCATATGGATTACCATAGCAGTTGTACATGTCCATCAAAAATGTAGGATTGCTTTTACCCCACATCCTCACCAACATTTGTTGTTGTTGCTGTTGTTTTTTTGTTTGTTTGTTTTTGTTTTTGGACTGGAGATCAAACTCAGGTCCTTGTGCTTGCGAGGCAGGTGGCAGAGCCATTAAGCTTAACCCTCAGCCCAACATTCACTGTTTTTTGTATTCTTTATATCTATCTTACTGGGGTGGGATGAAATTTAATATCATTTTGATTTGCATTTGCCTAATGGCTAAAGATGTGGAACAGTAAGTTGGCTATTTGTACTTTCTCTTTAGAGAATTCTCTGTTCAAATCAATAGTCCATTTATTGATGAGGCTATCTGTTCGAGTTCTTTTTATAGTCTAGATATTAATCATCCATCAGAAGAGTAACTATCAAAGATTTTCTCCCATTCTGTGGTTTGTCTCTTCACTCTATGAATTGTTTCCTGTGCTGGGAAGAAGCTTTTTCATTTGATGTAGTCCTATTTGTTGATTATTGATATGATTTCCTGTGCGGTTGGTATTTTATTCAGGCAGGAAGTTATTGCCTGTGCCTATGGCTTCCAGGATTTCCCCTAAGTTGTCTTCCAGCAGTTTCTTTCTCTGGTCTTCTATCTAGGTCTGTGGTCCATTTTGAGCTGCTTGTAGCACTGGGAGAGGTAAGGATCTAGTTTTAGTCTTCTGCGTGTCAGTATTCAGTTTTCCCAGCATTTGTTGAAGAGACTGTCTTTTCATCATCATATGTTTTTGGCCTCTTTGCCAAAAATCAGCTGGCTTTAGGTGTATTTTCTGTGTCTTGTGCTCTACCGTACTGGTCTCCATGACTGTTACTTTGCCAGTGCCATGTTTTTGTTACTGTAGCTTTGTAATATAACTTGAAATCCAGTATTGTGATGCCTCTGCTTTGGCCATTCTGAGTCTTTCCTCCTTCTATATGAATTTTAGGAATTCTTTTGTTCTGTGAAGAATATTGTTAGTATTTTGATGAGAATTTTATTGAATCTGTACATTGCTTTCTAAAATATGACCATTTTAACAATGTTGCCTCTGCCTATCCATTGACAAAGGAGGCCTTTCCATTTTCTAACATCTTCAACTTCTTTCTTTAATGTTATGTAATTTTCACTGTAGACATCCTTTGGCTTTTTGGTTCAGTTGATTCCCAGATGTTTAATTTTTTTGAAGCTATTGCAAATGGAATTGCTCTTCTGATTTCTTTCTCAGTGGGCACACTTTTGGTGTATAGGAGGACTATTGATTTTTGTGTGTTGATTCTGTATTTGGCCCCTTCATCGAATTTGTATCAGATTTAAAAGTTTTCTGGTGTTTTGAGGTCTTTTATTTGAAAAATCATGTCATTTGCAAATAGGTATAATTTGTTTTCTTCTTTTTCTATTCATATCCCAGTTACTTTTTATCTCTTTCTGATTGCTCTCGCAAAATTTCAAGTACTATATTGAATAGCAGTGGTGAGATGGAACATTTTTTTCTTATTCCTGATTTCAGAGAAAATATGTTAAATTTTTCCCTATTTAGTATGATGCGGGCTGTGAATTTGTCATATATGACGTGTACAGATTGAGGTAAAACTCTTCTATGTTTTTTCATTGTGGTTTTTTCTTTTTAATCACAAAAGTGTGTTAGATTTTGTTGAAGGCTTTCCTGCATCTATTGAGATGATCATGAGTTTTTAAATCCTTGATTTTTCTTTATGTGCTGTATTATATTTATGAATTCATATATGTTGAACTTTCCTTGCATCCTTGGGATGAAACCAACCTGGTCATAGTGAATGATCTTTTTAATGTGTTGTTGAATTGTATTTACCAGGATCTTATTGATAATTTTTGCACTATGATGTTGATCTTTACTTTTTCAGATTTTCATTGAGTTCTTGTCTGGTTTTGGTATTAGGGTAATGGTAGCTTCATAGAATAGGTTTGGAATCTTTCCTGCCCTTCCAACTGCATGAAAAGTTTTCAGGAGCATTGGTATTCGTTCTTCTCTATAGGTCTGGTAGAACTAAGCAGTGAATCCATCAAGTCCTGGACTTTTCCTGGTAGATTTTTTATTACTGTGTTAATTTCATTGAATGTTATTGGTCTTTAAAAAAATTTGTCTTGGCTCAATTTTGATAAGCCCCATGTTTCTAGGAATTTATCTTCTGAATTCTCCAATTTATCAAGAATATAAGTTTTTAAAGTAGTTTCTAATTAGTCTTCTGGATTTCAGTGGTGTCTGTTCTAATTTTGTTTTTTTTTATATGTAATTTTATTAATGAGTCTTCTTTTGATAAGTTGGCTAAGACTGTATCAATCCTGTTTATCTTTTCAAAGAACCAATTCTTTTTTTTCCATATAATGCCACTGAGCCAGTCAGTGTTTTATTTATCTTTAAAAATTTTTTCCCATTAAATTTATTGGTACATTTAAAGCAAACAATACAGTAACACTTATCATTGGGATCTTGTACCTTTACATGATGTGTCTTGATTCTCATTTTTTCCCATACCCCTGCCCTCCCTTCACCCCCTTCACCCTGCCCTATTTAGAAAGACTTTGTTTCCATTTTTCCTTTTTTCATATTTTTTCTTTTCCCTTATTTCCTTTTCCCTCCCCTTCCCACTTCCCCTTTAGACATTTTCTTCCTCTTTCACACTCTCAATTATACTATTTGAACTTTATTTACACTTTTAGTTTTTCATATCAGAGAAACTATTTGGTATTTACTCAAGTGTGTCCTATTTATTTCACTTAAGAGTATGGTCTCAATGTGCATCCATTTAGCTATGCTTCTAGTTTCTCATTCTTTATGGCTGAGTAGTACTCCATTTAATAGAAAAACCACATTTTCTTTATCCAGTCTCCATTGATGGGCAATTGGGCTGTTTCCAAGTTTTAGCTATTACGAATTATGCTGCTACAAACTGGGTGCACATATATCACTGTGATATGATTCTTTTAATTCTTTTGGAAGATACCAAGTAGAGGGATAGCTGGGTCAAATGTAACCTCTAATCCTAGTTCTTCAAGGTATCTCCATATTGAGTTTCTCAGTGGCTGTACCAATCTTCACTCCCACCAACAATGGAGAAAAGTTCCTTTCTCCCCACAGCCCAGCCAGCATTTGTTATTGGTTGATTTCTTGATAGCAGCCATTCTTTGTGGGGTGAGGTGGAATCTCAGTGTTGGTTTCATCTGCATCGCTTGAATGACCAGTGATGATGAACATTTTTTTGTATATTTATTTGCTGCTTTTACTTCTTTGTCTGAGAAGAGCCAACTCTTGAGTCATGATCTTTTTATTATTCTTTATTCTAAATTCATTAATTTGTGCTGTGATCTTCATGCTTTTTCCTCTTTCTGGTTTTAGGTTTGGTTTGTTCTTGTTTTTTGTAGGACCTTAAGATGCATCATGAAGTTATTTCTTTGGGATCACTCTTTTTCTAATGAAGGCACTCATCGCTATAAACTTCAGTCTTAGAATTAGTTTTATTTTGTCCCATAGATTTTGACGTGTTGTTTCCATTGCTATTTGATTGGAATATTTAAAAAGTTTTTCCTCTGATTTCTTCTATGGTCAATTGATTATTCAGGAGTGTAGCCTTCTATTTTCATGTGTTTTTATAGTTTCTGTGGTATCTTTTGATAGTGATTTCTAATTTCATTCCATTGTGATCTGGTAGGATACATGAGATTATTTCAATTCTTTTTATTTATTGAGGCTCACTTTATGGTCTATGTACTTCTTAAGTTTCCTTATTTATTTTTTGTTTGGTTAACTGTCTATTTGTGGTACTGGGGAATTCAAGTCACCCACTATGATTATATGTTTGTATGTCCCATTGTGTCTAGTAGTGTTTGTTTTATGAAACTGTGCACTGACATTTGGTGCACATATATTTGGTGCATATATATTTACTATTGTTTTCTCTTCATGGACATTTTGTGTCTCTTCTGAACAGTTTTGGTTTGAAGTCAATTTTGTTAGAATAGTATTCCTGCTTACTCTTTGGTTCCAGATGCTTGGAATATCATTTTCTCTCCTTTTACTTTTGGAATATGTATGTCTTCTCTTTTTATTTTTAAAAGTTTTGTACTGGGAATTGAACTTAAGACCTTGTGCTTGCCAGGCAGGCACAGTGCCACTAAGCCACATCGCCAGCTGCTCAGTCTATGTATATCTTTGCAGGTGAGGTATGTCTCTTGGGTGCAACATGTAGATTGGCCTTGTATTTTGATCTAATCTTCTGGTCTGTTTCTTTCAGTATAGAGCTAAGATTATTTACATTAAATGTTATTGAAAGGTATACATGGATTCCTGTCATTTTGCTGTTTTTATAGGGATTCACTCATTTCTGTTTTTATTCATTTACTCTGCTAATGAGATTTTATTCTTTTGTTTGGCCTCATTTTATTTTTGTCCTCATTGTGTCTGTTTAGGATTCCCTTAAGTATTTGCTGCTATACTGGCTAGGAGGTCATGAATTTCTTTAGTTTATCCTCTCGTGGGTTGACAATTATTTCTTTCAGGACTTGAAAACTTTAATCCACAGCCTTCTGCCTGAGCAGGAGGGATAACCACGTTGCAGTTCTTACCATTCAGCCTCCTGTGTACAGAAGTGGGTGGAGAGATGGGCAGAGGGATGTTCAGAAGGGTAGGGGGAAGATGCGGGAATCTTTTGAATGCTTTTGGATGAGCTCAATGGAACAAAAGGAATATCCTAGATGTATAAATTTAGCAGCAAAAGAGGTTAGAGGCAGAGACATCCATTAGGGAAATTAGAGCTGGTATTTTTCATGGACTAAGTTAATAAGGTCTTACAACAGGTTGGTGGCAGAGAGAATGAAAATAAAGTAACAAATGTGAAAGGCATTATAAGGAATTTCCAGTAATTCATATGGCCAAATTTTGTGTCTCAGTAATATTACCTTAAGATTTGTAAATTTTATAAAATGTATGTAATTGTGAGTTTAGAGTTTAGCAACACTATGTTCCTTAATTACTTTTCTTTTATTTTTCTTTCTTTTTTTCACTTTGATTTTCTTATTTTATATTCAGTTCTTGTTGAGGATATAGCTCAGTGCTTCAGTAATTTACTTTGAGAAATCCTAACACTTTAAAGAATACCATATGAGAATTCAAAATTCAGATTGCTCTCTGTGTTAAATATTTTCCTAGTGTAGCCAATAGTTCACCATAAATTCTAAAAGCCAAACTATTTTAATTGCTCTATATCTTAGAAGTGAAAATACCAATTACATACTATCATGGTGATGAATTTCTTTATTTTGGGCAAAAATGAAAATGTCTTTTTCAGTCTATAAGGTTTATCCATTTTTATTTTATATACTCATTTATCTTCAGCATAATATATGCATAAATTGCTTGTCAGAAGAACCTACACAGATCTTGGTGGCTGACATAAAATCATAAAAGTACAATAGCTTAGTCTCACTCCATTATATGATCTTTTGAAAGTCAAGAGCACGCCGCACTCTATTTTGGGTACTTACTTCTCAGGGAAGCTTCTCTGTTTTATTCTCTGCAGAAAGATAAAAAGTAATTTTACCAGGAGATAATGCCAACTGTAGAGCTAGTCTATTTTCATTCCCTTCTCCCTTCAACTTCATCTCCACCTGTATGTACAATATTATTTTGCAGGAATAAAATTCCCATGGGTCTTATCAGATATGCTGAAATATTCCTTCAACTGACCCTTCTACTGTGGAAACCGGTTACCAGGGGGCCTGCTGCACAGCCCCATGGTTTATACTTACCTGCTGACGAAGATCCAGGTGCTCCTGCGAGCTGCTAAAGTTTCTCCCAATGTCAAAGAGGCCGAAGGTCTCCTGCTGGCAGGTGCTGACCCAGTCCTGGTATTTCCCTGTGTCAGGGATGCAAACCAGAAAGGTCCGGTATGCTTCCCGTGCTGCTTCCTGGCACATTGAAATACAGAGTCGTTGGGGTGAGAGACGGCCTCACCATAGGAAAAACCCTACCCCCAAAGCATGCTTTCATAATACAGACAGGTCTTTCCTGCCTTACTTTGACACACAGTTTACAGCCCATAGAAACTAATTTATTGAGCACCTACTTTGTGCTATGGAGAAAAAGGAAAGAAAGTATGGAGTATGGAGTATGCATGTTCATGTGTAAGACTGTAGGGTAAAATAGGGCTGCTGAGTCAGATCTCACTCTAAAGGTGATTTTTGAGCAGTTTGGGAAGACAAGCCCCAAAGTTAGAGAGGAGGATGTCAGTGTGACCCCCATTTACCCATCTCTAATCTTACTGTAGCACAGTTCCCCTAGGTTGTCATTCAAGGAACAATTTTAAATAACAGTACTGACACTGAGAAAGAGTGAACTTCCTTGCAGAATAACACATCTTCTGGCTGTTTAGGTGATTTCTGATTCTTTTCTTTCAGCAAGTTAGATGAAGCTGACAATTGGACATTAAACAGGACAGATTCTGATGTGATTGTTGGCATACAATGTCAAAAGGATTTAAAGAATAAGGACATTATTACAATAAAATTTTGTTCCCATTCATTTATTGATGTAAACAAGTTTCCTCAGCATATAAGTGATATTAAGTCTAAGAATAAGGATAAAACTGATTCTAAATTCTGTCTCATCTTAGTAATGCACAATAGAAATAATGACTAAGCTGATGGGGGAGGAAACTCAAAGCATCCTCATTAATCGAGAGGGAGAAGCTCAGGAAGTTACACTTTGTTTACACTGGTGCCTTCCAAAGTCCTTTTTGTAACTTTGCATATCCCACTTTGTGTTTATAAATAAGAGTACCCATAAAAACCACTTCACCTTATATCATCCATTAATAAAAACATAAATTCTCAAATTTATATATTTATTTTAATCAGTTACATATTCAAAATTATTATAAATGCACCTGAACTCAGAAGAAATTTCTTTTTACACATAAAGCCTATAGTCATGGGAAATAAAAACATCATTTCAATGTATATACACATTTTTGTCACGGAGAAGTAGTTTGGAGCAATCAGTAACAGATTTTAAAGCATAAACATAAACTACATTGAAAGAGGACCAAGGGGAAGTGTAATGGAAAAGTGGCCGTGTGCAGAAAAAGGAGCCATGGGACATTTCCATCTCTTAAGGAGAGTTTGGTCATGTATCTGTTAGAATAATTTGATGGCTTAATAAGAATATTCAATGGCAATGTGGATTCCACTGGACATATGAGAATGGTCCAATTCTTGTTTTATTTAATATATCAACATTTACAACTCCCTAAAATTTATATCCTTTCTATTGTTTACATTTAGAATGAAAAATTTTAGATGTCGACTGGAAAGGGTGCAGGAGGGGATGTAGCTTAAAAGTCATTTCAGGGGTGTAAGTGAGACAAAAAATATAAGAAGACTTCCATATAAACAGTTTTAATATATTGATTTTTACTTCTGGAGGGATGGAAAGCAACTGGAAGCTGTAGGCAAAGGCTGATATCACCTGACGTTCTCAGGAATCCCTTGATACTGCCGTGCTGAGAAGTGGGTAGAAGGAACAAGGAGAAGCAAGGCCAGATTGGAGGTTCTTATTCCTATGCTTTACCCTTATTCTGTGTCTGGATTTCTCTAAATTTCTGTTTTCACAGGCAAAGGGAATTCCAGCTCAATAGAAGCACAAGTCCTTAACCAGCAGCAACCTGACCGGACCTTTGAGGTAACTGATCTTTTAATCCGTAACTCACAACAGGATCAGGTGCAGCCCAGCCACTCTGAATGTGCTACCTTGCTGCCTCTCAGGGTCAGCCCACACAGAAAGCAAGGGGACAACTTCACTTTAGAAAACCCATCTCTTTCTGATTGGCAGGGAGAAAGGATCACTTTCAGTGCCTTTGCTGATACCAACCATCATGCAGTCTCCAGATCTGCATTTCTTATCAAAGGTTTACATGCCATGTAAGAAGGAAATAACATCTGTCATGTGGCTGGAGAGACCGAGTCTGCACTGGGAAGTAGGAGGTGCTTGTTTCTGGTGCCTGTGTCTTCCTTGTTCTGCTTCTTTTCCCAATGCCCTTTCTCCAAGAACTTGTTCAGCTCCCATCAATATTGCCTTGAAGAAAGGCTCTGGGAGAACCTCCCTGGAAGCACAGGAAGATACTTGAAGGACTGTGTCCCCACAGCTGTGTAGTTTACAGGGACCATGTGTTAAGGGTGAACCAGAACCAGTGGATTCTCTTCAGCTTCTTTTCTGAGGTGTGTGTGTGTGTTTGTGTGTGTGTATTATCTGATGTCATTATTTCTGGCTTCCTAGGAGCTTCCCACAAACTAGGTGGCACAGAATTATTTTGTCATTGGGATCAGCAGCCCACTACCTGCTGGAGAATTCCCTATTTTTATTGAAAGAACATCCATAATCAAAGCAAAACAAAGCAGAGCAAAGCAAAACACAACTTTCTAAATTTAGAGGCATCACAGTGCTGGCAGTGGTTGGAAAACTCCTCAAAGTTGGGTTATTCTGACCTTTCAATTTACCTGCTCAGTCTCATCCTCCTCTGGCCCACTGGTAGGGTTTGGCCCAGGGATTCTAGAGAAACCAGCTCTGTGCCTCCCCCATCTTGCCCAGCACATGGAATCTGAGCACAGAGTCAATCTCTGTGCTCCGTGATCACATAGGAAGTCAGAGCACTTGGCTTAGAGGCCAGCATGGATGTGCATAATGGATGTGTGGGCCTGCACATGGTTACTGTTCACAACTGTGAAGTATTAGCTGGGACCTGAGGTGTGAAAAAGCCCAGAATGGGGCTGGCACACATTGGACAGAGAGATACACTGGGATGGGAATCTAGTCCTGTCCCAGCTCTGCTACCAACTATGTCCCTGAGCGCTTCACTTTGTGTCTTCAGATCTCACTTGATTAGATGTTGTCTAGATCAGCGCTCCTAGAACCTTAAGGCACAAAAAATTGCTTGTTGATGGTGTCAAAATGCAGATTCTGATAGTCAGTCTGGGGTTGAATATGACAGTCTGCATGTCTAATGAGCTCCCGGCTGCTGCTAAGCTGAGGTCAGCAATTGCACCAGCAAGAATTAAAGTAGTATCCATTTTTAACCTGCTCTGTATATCACATCATTGAGACAGACCTAGCCTTTGGTCTTTCATGAGGAATACAAAGCCTGATTTTTTAACGTTGTGACTGGGAGAGAGGGGAAGGGAAAGAGAGGGGCACATCATGGAATGGAATGAGGTGCGACTCTGAGGGGAACCATGCCAAAAGTAGGAAGATTGGCTGGGAGGAGGACAGAGTTCAAGCTGGGGACTCTGGAAACAAATTTGCCTTGTTTGCATTTGTGCTTTGAAATGAGTGTGCTTATGAGTCTACTGAAAAAATCAGGACACTCTCACTTGTGTTGCTTTAAGCATCAGGAAAAGAAGTAGTTCAATATTTCATTTGATTTAGGAATATTGGAGCTGTCTCCTCTGAGTTTGAAAGATCTCAACAAGACAGTGTTGAGAATGGTAAATGGTAACTCCATCAAAAGCATACTGCTTTGCATAGTTGCTTTGCAACTGGGTCTTATTCTTGTTTCTTTGTGAAGCAGTTTGTTAGACTTAAGAAATCTACACTGATGAATAGTAAAATTTTGTACCACCCAGGGGCAGCCATAAAGATAATGGACTGTCATTGCTGCAGAGAGAAAAACAGTGGTTTGTTTTGTCCAGGGAAAGAAGAAAAAAAGACACTAAAGAGCTAAAGAGCTAAGAATTAAAAACTCAAGGCTAAAAACTTTGTTTCAGCATTAGTCCCTACCACAAATACCTGCAGCAAATTATGTTTGTGAATGTTGCAAAGAATTAGAAGCTGTGCAGTCCCCACCTTGCCCACCCCCCAGCCTTGGCAGCAGACCAGTGAGAGGTGGAGCTATACAGGTGCCTGCAGCCCCCCAGAGTCACCCCCCACCCCTGTGCTCCTCTGACCTCCTGGCTGCGCTGGTACACGGATTCACACCACAGAGGCACAGGGGGTCATAAAGGCCATTGTCCTGAGCTGCGACCTTGATTTTGATTTAATTCACATGGTTAAAGGTGATACATTAATAACAACCACAAACTGTCATTTTCTAAGCAGGGCTTGATGCTTTTGTGTTGCTGATTATATCACTTAGGTTAAAGAGTTGTAATTGATCTAATCAGTTGTCCTTCCTGGTATAATGAAAGAGAGATTACTTCAGAGACATTAGAGACCTAAAACTTAAAGACCAGCTATAATAGGAAGATTGAAGTATTAACCCAGATATCAAACCAAGGACAGTGCCAACAACAAAAATAGAAATGAGAAGACATTCAAGGAAGGCGCACGCATAAACCCGGGCTGCCAGCTCACCAAAGGCAAATTCTTAGGAAAATGAGGTGGAAAAGTCTGATAATCAATCACCTGGACACCCTGAACTGATAGCACAGGAATTCACAAAACAGGTGAATGAGGCTCTACAAGAATTCAAAATGGAAATAGTTTCCCAGATAACTACAGAGATGGTGAGTAGAATGAAAGACATGATTAGATACTCTAGAAAAGAAACAGATGAAAAATAGATGAGTTCAGGACCACGATAGAAGCCATGAATGTTCAGCATAGGAAAGAAATGAAAACCATGAACACCCAACATAGGAAAGAAATGGAATCCATGAAATGGATTCAAACAGATATCCAGGAGATTAAAAACTCTATTGAAGGCTGGGGATTTAGCTCAGTGATTCTGCCACCTGCTTTGCAAGTGTAAGGACTTGAGTTTGATCCTTGGTACCAAAACAAATAAACAAACAAACATTGCTATAAACATGAGTGCACATATCTTGGGCCAGGATGTAGCTCAGTGGTTCCGTTGCCTGCCTTGCCAGCACAAGGACCCAAGTTCGATCCCCAGCACCAAAAAAAGAGAAAGCATACATAACAGAC